AAGGGTGGGGAAAGGCAGCAATAGCAGTGGTAGTCAGAGTAGTCCCCAGAGGAGCAACCCCAGGCACTGCTGAAGTAGCTGGGGCAGGTGCAGGGTACTGGATGGGAGATGGAGTGCATTTGCCTTGTACCAGGATCTTGTGGCATGCTCCTGTCATTCTTGCAGAGCACTACTGCCAGGGAAGCCGGGTAGGTATAGCAAACTATTTCCTTCTCCCTGTATAAGAAAAAATAAGAGGGCTGATACTTGTTATGGGACAAGCATTTAATGCAGTGGTTCTCAATTGGCTATCTCCGGGCTGTAGTGCTTCTGCTGCCAAGTGGAACTGCACCTCTACTTTCAGAAAGCACCTGTGGAGCTGGACAGTGAAGTAGCTGCAGCAGGAGGGTGCACTCCTGCATGCATTAGGTGCATCTCAGTCTGGCTTTGCACACACCTCCTGGAAATGGGTTCACAGGGCAGCAGCAGTGTCACCCATGCCACAGCACCCTTGAAAGGCATCCTGGTTAAGAACCACTGGTTTTTCAGTTCTCTTTATGCTTATGTGATGATGTCATCTGCTAACAGTTTTTGCCCTAGAGGTGACTGACAGTGATCAGTGGAATATTTGTATGAATAGCATACACAACAGAGGAGGGGTTCTGTGTTACAAGTGGCGGGTTTTTTATTTCAAAATACCTCAGTACTCCACTGTTTACACAAACTGATGTTTTATCTTTGTATTACAGCTGGCTTTACGAGATGCCCTCTTGAAAAAGAGAAAAAGGCTTCTGAAATAACAGTTGAAACAACAAAAGAAGAGATGGTTTTATATTATTGTGGGGTGTTACCCTAGAAATGTTTGTGGTGTTATATATAAGTACGGGATAACCATCATTGAAAAGCCGAAAGTTGATTGCCTGTAACTGAATATAATTGATGCTGGAATGTGACTCTTTGTGACAGTACTTTTGAGACGAGCGAAGAGGCCTTAATATTCAAGATCTTGATTTCTGGAACATCCCTGGAGGGGAAACAATTTAACTTTTATTGACTATAACTTATTTCCAATTAACTAGTAATGTAAATATTCAGGTAAAACTTTTGACAATTTGGTGTTTGCTTTAATTAATAAGTCCGGAAATGGCAAGGACAACAGAAGTCCTAAATCAAACAATGTAAAGTGTGTGTGTGTGTCTTGTGTTTGGTGTTAAGGATGGAATTTTTTTGGACTTTAAAATAAACCTTTTCTAAGTGGTCATGTTTACTTTCCTCTCTGGGTTTAAAACAACTGGTTTCACAATTTGTCCAAGTCGGTGAAATGATTGTGGTTGCACAAAATTCTAGAATGCTGTGTTATAAGGCAGGAGTAGAGATAATAGGTAAAAAAGATGTGTGTTTTCATTTTTTAAAAATGCCCACATGTAACACTAGTGGACACCAACATCTGCCTGTACCAATTTATTGAATGGAGTCTAAATCTGTATGGAAGCTTAAATGAAGTACACATCCTTATCCACATCTGGCAGCCTGCCCTTTTATTCTGTGGGAAAGTTTTGCTATACAGTTTTTTTTCCCCCAGGAATAATTTACATTATTTTTCTGCCATGGCTTTTTTCTCCAACTTTTTTCCTTAGCTGTTCTATTTCAGGGGTTTTTTATCAAGGCATTTTTTGTTTTTTTTTTTTAAATATAGACATTCATTTTTATTCCACTTTTCCTTGTATAGGATCACAGGTAAATAGAGCTAAAAGGGACCTCATAATGTCATCTAACTCAGCCCCCTGCTCAAGGCAGGATCACCCCAGACTAAACCATCCTGGCCAAGTGTTTGTCTAACCTGCTCTTGAAAATTTCCAGGGACTCCACAACTGCTCTAGTTAGCCTGTTCCACTGCTTGGCCACTCCCGTAAGAGTTCTTCCTAATCTCCAACTTAAATTTCTTCTGCTTCAGCTCGAAGCCATTGCTTCTAGTCCTATCCCCTACAGCAGGGACACACAATTATTTCAGCTGGAGAGCCACTTGCCAAGTTTTGGCAAGCTGTTGAGGGCCACATGGGTAGCCTCGCCCCTTGACAGGTGCCCTGTCCCCTGGTCACCATCTTGTGACTGGAAGTCCCACTCCCTAACCCCTGACCTTTGCCACTAGAAGTCCCTCCCCTTGCCCCTAGAAGTGAAGTACTCCTTTCAGCAAGGGGTTTTGCCATCTCAGAACCCCTTGCTGAAAATACCAAATTAGATTCTAAAAAGCAAACATCTAAACATTCGTTAATTTGGTTTCAAAAAATATTTTGTCCTGATTTACATGTGTTTGTGTAGGGTACACAGAGATGACTGCACAATAGCTTAAAATGAAGTTTTACTCTTGAATATTGTGGGGGGTGGGTATAGGTTTGTGGGGGACTGTGAGAATGTGGGTATCTGGGGTGAGGGAGCATGTGGGGGAGTATGGGTATGGGGTTTGTGGGGAGCCTGGGGTATGTAAGGGGATATAGGGGTGTCTGTATGGCAGTGCAAGGGGGGGGACTCAGCCTAATGAACACACATGCACATGTGTGCGCACACAAACAGATGCACACTGTCCCTGCTTGCCCCCCCACACACACACACAATCTGTCTGTCTGGCTGTCCCTGTCCCCCCTGCCACGCACTCTCCCTGCCTGCACACATACATACTGCCTCTGGCCCTTGTCAGCTTTGACAGGCTGCCAGGGAAAATAAATACTAATTTCTTAAATTTTGGGGGGCCTTGCAGGCCGGATAAAATGGCTTGGCAG